AAAAATTCTGATAGTCAAGCTGAAAGAAAAGCCTTTTAACGTAGAAATCATAATAGTATATGCACCGACAGCACAAAATAAGAAAGAAGAAATCAAATCTTTCTACTCCATGCTAGACAGCGCCAGGACTCATTGCTTTTAACAAATATTCACTATGCAGACGACCTAGATATCACTGGAGACACTATTAACAATGCCACAGTTTTCCTAAATCATCTAGATAATGTTGCCAACGATTTTGGACTCTATGTCAATGCCACTAAAACTGTATTCATAGGCCTCAACCAGCAAGTTTCAATGCAAACTATCCCAAGTAAATCAATAAAATTGTCGGATTTTTTACATATCTATTAAGAGAGATAATTTCTACTGAATAGAATGTGAAAAGCTAAATCTTAGGTCACCGTGAGTAAAATGGATGTAATCTGGAAATCTCTTCTACTAGACAACCTTAAACGGAGATTCATTCGAATCTGTAGAGTCAGTGTTAGTGCCTGGATATTAACTAAAATTCTGGAGTCGTTTTTTGATGGAATCTGCACTCGTATGTTCTCAGCTATACTTAACATCTCTTGGGAACAACATCCAACTAAATCACAGCTAGCGTATCTGAATCCTTTTGACCAAATGGGCGAGTAATGTAAACGAAATTCAGGGGAGGAGAGAACAGAGATGTTTTCGTATATATATTTTTATTTTGTTTATTCCATACATGATTTCATTTATTTAATCTTATTCATTTTTTAAAGTGGAAATGTATATTTTGGCTTGTAATCATCTTTTGCTAGTAGAAAAATTCTAACCGAAATTTGAAATTATTTGTATGTATATTTCGCCAAATTTCTTGTATATTTTTTTTACACAAAAATGTTCAAATAATGTTAAGTCTCTGCTAGATTTTATTTTGAAAGTGGAAGTTTAAGTTAAAGCATGACATCATACTGTCAGTTCTATATCTAACTCTTCCCTAAAGCATGTATTCGGAGCTTATATCTATAACTAAGTCTTCTCTAAAGCATATATTTGGAACTTATATCCGTAATATTATTGACTATGTATTAACTTTTCCATCCTGGTGACTGAGTTTCCAGTTCTTTCTAAAGTCGACTTCAACTCTTTACTTCTGATGTCTCCGCATGAATTCTGAATTTCTATTCACTAATTATTATTATTTTCCTCTCTTAGTAGGAGTAAATAGGTTCGCCTATCGTCATGTTCACACTCCTTCCTGATTCAAATTTATACTCCTAACATCTCCACCTGAGCACTGAAATTGTATTTACTAATTTTTATTTATTTATTTATTTATATTTTTCCTTCCTTTTCTACCAATAGGATTAGATAGTTTCACCTATCACCCAGTTCATAATCCTTCCAGGTCTTTTGAACAGGATTAGTAGCTTATTTGTAGCATTATAGCTTGTTTCTTATTGAGGATTCGGCATCCGATTCCTTTTAAAATCTACTTTTAACGTTTCCGACTGGAATCTGAAATTTTATTAACTGATTAAACCTTTACCTCTACAATTATAGATATAGCTGTTATGATTCCTGTAAAACCCCAAGAAATTCTTTCTTTTTCGTAAACTAATACAAAACCATAGAGTGGCTCACTACTTTGTATTGAGTGCACATTAGTAAAACAAATTAACAACGGTAACAACATATTGTAATAACACTTATGTGGTAGATCGAATATTTGTTCCAACTATGAAAACCGATTATCTTTGTATTCAGGATTTTACTAACCTTACTAAATATAGAACATTCATCCTTTGCTTTACAAGAAACGGCTTAAAATTTATGTTTTTCAATAATCGATTTTTCAAAATCTATTTTATTGTTCTTTGAGTTAATTAATAAGTAACTTTTATTGAATTAGTTTCTTAAGTTGACCGTCGTTAAATAGACGAACGGAAATCGAAAATGTTATGTTTTTTACATATTTTTAGTTCTCTTCATAATATTTTCCTCATGGCGTTACTTAAGGATAGAAATTGACCACAATGTGTAGAGAATATATTTTAGGATTTAAAATAATTTTTAAAAAGTGGGATTTTTATTAAAATATTATAAAAATTTTTCATTCGAGAACAGCCTATCAAAAAAGAAGTATCTTTAAACAGGAGAATTTCCTTCCTCTTGAACCTCTTGCCGACCTCAGAATAGCCGCAAGTGTTCGTTTTCTTAAATGGTGAAACCAAATATGCACGTCGGAAAAGCGCTGATAGACTATATTGGTTAATTTTTTTTTAATATTTAAAAACGAAAATAAATCATAATGGAAGTAAAGATGAAGTATTGAATATGAAGTTTCGTTATAGTGACAACAAATTTTTCTCGCGAGTTTTCGTGTCACTTTCTGTTACAATTGAGTAAAATGAAAAAAAAAATTCTTCCCACTACTCACCACACACTATTGTTAGGAGCGCTTAATTTATCGCCCGAGGGCAACATTTTGAGATATCCCAAATGTGTGAATATTTAAATTATTCCCCCAAAACATACTTCACTTTCTGTTTCCTTCTTTTCCATGGTATTTTTTTTTTATAAAATTAAATTATTTAAATATTTATTTCAATAACGTTAATATTTTAATTTTAATTTTTCTAGTGATATTGACAATGTCTTCGTTCGTTCCTATTGTTATTCTTCTTATTAAGAATATATTTATTATTATCATTTTTTAATGTTATTCTCATTTCTTTATTAAAAGTGTGGATAGATAATTTTATTATTGATATTATTATAAAACTCTTACTAACTTTATTTCATGTTTTCTTTATTCACTTTCTCAAACAATCCATTACCATGAGATTTCTTCTCAAGACCTGAGGTAATGGAAGATTTTTTAGGAAATTATTGAGTGTTTTATATTGAGAGAGAGTTTTCTGAGTACGTGAGCAGTGATCATGAAAACAGTCTTTTGCATCTCAGATAGTGAGAGGTTTCTTTATATTTTCTAAATGCGTTTTCAATCAGTGCTTTGGCTCCTAATATTATTCGGATATTGGTTGGGTGCAAAAGTTACATTCTTGTAATTTCTATCGTCATGTATTTACATGTCGAACATCTGTAGTGTTTATAGTAATGGTTTCTACTTCTATTTGTCAATGTACAGTGTATACAACTGATATAGATATATATATATTTTTCTGTTACAATGATTCTGTTTACTTAAGAATTTAAGTAGGACCCATTTATATACAATCAGTTGCCAAAGATTCAGACTATAGGGTGGATATGCTATCGCTTCAGAAAGTATCTAACTCCAGTCATGTTTATGTTTTACAAGCATTAGATTAAACAAGAAATGGAATATTGACAAAAAAAAACTCCAAGCTTTGGCTGGTCAGTTCTCCCCCAGTTGATAGATTAAAAATTATTTATTAGGTCTACTGGGGCAAGACACATTCTCCATTCTGCAGCAGAAATGGCCGCACAGATGCCCCATTGCAATTATTCTAATACTTTATCTCTATTCACATGGTAAATGGTAAAATGTATTCCATTCTTTGGTTCCACCAATGACCCTCATGTCCTGACGAGGTAAATTCTTTAGTTCAAACATTTACATCCAGGACAGGGTATCCTACATTCAACAGGTCGTATCATCCTCATTTCTATCGTTTTCCAAATGTAAAAAAAAAAAACTCACATTGCAATGGATTCACATGTGGGTGCTACCCCGCACATTCCAATATTGTCCTCACCAATTCAAGGGACAATTCTTATGTTTCTTCTTTATTTTCTTAATAATATTAACTTCCAATCACTTTCTTCCCTTCATGCCACACACCTCACTCAGCTAAAACATATTCTTCAGTGTGTATCGACGAATATTATATTGGGTGAGATTTAGTAAAAAAAAATCTTTATAATAGTTGTGATAACAATATTAAAATTTCTTATATGTAGAAATATCAACCATTATTATTTTGTTTAAGATTTGTTTATTGCAACTATTAAATTTTAATTTTACGCTTCTTAGTACTATAGGTTTTCCAGCTATATATCTATTTAAACATAAGAAATTAAATAGAAAACTGTTTATTAAAAGTAACACTATAAAACGGATCCAACATTTCTGTAATGTAGTAAATAATACTCTTTATATTTGTCGATATTTATTTTTTTATCAATTCGAAAAATAAATGGAATTGGTGTCTTTTCGTCAGATTATCATGTTTACAAGCGGAATATGTTTTGAAAGTAGCAAAAACAATGCAAAATAAAACAAAAAAAGACAATATTACCAGGGGAAATTTCAAATTATTTGACTGCTGCTTTAACTGAAAGTCGCAGACTGAACTGATAGCAGAGCTATTGCCATAATAATAACTAATGTAAAAAAAAATATTTGTGGCTTGATTTTTCTTGTTAATAAAATTCTTGGAATAACTGGATAATTTTAATATTACGATTATCAGGAACGATGTTTTTGTCATGATCATCGATGCAGATTCTTCTAAAATTAAAAAAAGCAAAGAAAAAATTGCCAATTCCCAAGAAAGTTTTATTAAATGGAAGCGTTTCGACAGAATTAGAATCTTCCCGAAATATCGTAATGATGATTTATTATTTTTATTGCTTTTTAATTGCTGCAAGGTAAAATGCTGCATAAAATTTCGCACTTTCAAATTGTCTCGATTATAAAATTGCCTAAGAAAAAATATTTTGAATTCGCCGCTAACAAAATTATTTAAAACAAATTTTCTTTTTCACTTCTTCCATCAAAAATGCATTTCAAAACCATTTACATTCATATGTAGATATGATTATTTTCTTACCTCGTTAGACACAAAACCAAAAATTTAATTCGCTTAAGGTTAGAAAAACATATAATTGGGCAGTCATTTTGAATCGGATTCGCGATATTAGCTATTTAATATCTTACTAGCCTGTTAACAATAACAGTCGCCCTTACGTGATATTTCCCGAGATTAATTTACTCCATTATATATCAATATATTAATCGAACTCGTCGTAATATCGGACAGATGAAGCTGAAGAAAAACCTAATAATGCGCGGGTTAAATATAGCTTGGCGTCAGGCAATCAGCCTGGTAAATTCCTATGTAAGAGAAACAAACATTGAGGATTATGTTCACAAGACTAAGAGATTTGTATATAATAAGGGATTTCTAAAAGCTCAAAATCACGCACAATTATATAGCGTAACAATTCATGTAGTTATAATAGTGATACACAGTGAAGAATAAAAATATACTTGCAATTGTCTTTGTAACAAACTGACTGGCAATTGCACTATTATAGGCCTCTGATCTACTGGATATGAATGCATGTAATTATTACAATTGAGTAGTCGTTCAGAGTGTAAGAGTTAAAATGTCTTGAACTGAATGACAAACAGGACTCGCACTGCGTTAGGAGTTAGCAAAAGCACAAGAAGTTGCGATGAAACTGGGTAACTCCAGTCCTGAAAAAAATTTGTTCAGATGAAGTAAGAATATAACAATAAAACGTCATTATTACATTTAATACATGAATTTACAAAATATCATGACATTGATTTTTTGTTTTATTTAATGTTCAGCTTTCGGATTAAGGAATAAGAGGGTCCTGTTCGAATTCTATTCGAATCCATTACATTCACTTACGCGCTAATAACCTTGGGAAAGGTATGAATCCTCTTTTTCCTCGCCATCTATGGGTAAGTAGCAGGACAGACCAGCTTCTATATCCTTGAATGGATACCGCAGAAAGAAATGGCAACCTACTGCGGGAAAAAATCTGCCTGGTGAATCAGGTATCGAAATATACATGAACGCCTAAGCGTGTATCACCTATAGCACATAACGGATTGACATATTATCAAAAAGACAATTGATTTTAACCCATATATGAAGAACCAAATTACAAAAACTCCAGCAGATACACGGGGAACAGTATGAATTATAAATCCATTTTACTGATAGTTATCGTAAATAGCGATACAAAGCGATCATATTTAGTGGATTGATAGGTATGGAGGGTTGTACAAAGTGTGGATTGTCACATACATCGACTGGAGCCATAACCAAAAAGAATTATCTTCCGCTTATTAGTAAATTAACGTTCAGCAAGAATTTAACAATTCCAATAGACGCTATACTTTTACTTATGGAAGAATCCAATGGAACTTCAAATACGTTCGCACTTTCATTGTTCAGAAACAAAAATAAAAATAAAATATATGGGAAGATTTTTAATTGAGTGGCATAGAATTAACGTTTGCTATTAAGTTTCCTGGAGCGTGAGTTTAATTTGAGAGTACAAAAATATAAATGTACATTTAAAATTATTTATTATTTATAATGATCTCTCAAGATATATAGCACTACAATTAAAATACTTACCATGAACGCACCATTTTCCAGTTATAACAACGTCACTCATGGTCTGAACATTGTGTTCAAGAATGAAAAAAACTGTCGCCAGTTAGTGCCAACTTCGATATTTAAATAGCTCTGATATTGAGCATTCTGACCCATAAATACAGCATACCATATAACTACATTTTATTATCAAGTATATTTTTATAATAAATATTGCATACCTTATATATATATATATATATATATATATATATATATATATATATATAGATAGATAGATAGATAGATAGATATATATAAACCTAAAAGCGAGGCAAACCTACCTAGGTTTCACCTGAACGGATCGTCAGGGTAATACTGGCCTGACTATCCGTTTAGGTGAAACCTAGGTAGGTTTGTCCCGCTTTTTAGGTTTATATTGGGTTTGCTCTACTTCGTGTATTGAACACATTGCGTAGTTGCTTTTATTCGTTTAGAACTTTTTTTTTTTTGGGACTCTGAGTTTGAATTCTGGACAATTGATTTCACTTCAAATTTTTTATTCCTCTTTTTTCCTTGGGTACTGTTTTGTTCTACTACAAGCCTAAATACCCAAGCTTTTTCCAAGCGAGTACTTCCATATATATATATATATATATAATACATGCCTTGATACTTAATATATATATATATATATATATATATATATATATATATATATATATATATATATATATATTACTGGGTCTTTAGCCCTCTGATCCTTCACCATGAGAATAAACCTTTGCAGAAGGTTTGTTACACAAAATGCCGATCTGTTGTTTGTTTTTACGGTCGTGTTTACGGATGAGGAAGAGATAGAATAACAAATTTACAGCCAATATTTGTAGGCAGGTTGGAATCCCCATGGTACAATACAGGCTAGACACTAGCAGCAGTATACGATTAATGTGTGGTTTGGATTTATAGATTTATTTTAGCTGTTTGGTAGGTTCATATTTCTTCCCAACCCGTCTTACTGGAGCTGTCTACAGGGAATTCTTTTCGAACACACTTCCATACCTGCTAGAGGATGTACCCCTGCGAAAACGAAGCATGCATGATGGGCCTCCAGCACGTTTTTAGTCAAAAAACGATTGATAGTTAGGGAAGGACTTGTTTCATGGACTGCACGTTCGCCCGACCTCAATCTTTTGGATTTTTTTTTATATCTGGGCCTAACTAAAACAATTACCTCATGCCTCAGAAATGAATATTGCTGCGACGTTTCATCAACGTATCATAGGTGATGTGAAGCCATGCGAAAATCTGTGGAACTATGTAAAAATGTCCGCCAGCCAATGGTCCAACGGGTGTACGCGTGTATAAACACGGGGAAGACATTTTGAATATTTGTTGAGTATTGAGTGTTGCTGTGTTGAGGAACAACGATTGCCTTTTAGACATATGTATATATATGAACATTTTATCATGATTTGGTGATAGGAACCCTTACCCAATATTTGTAAAAGTATAATATGATTATGATAGATTCTCCCGTCATATGAGAGTGAGTCCAATAATACAGAGCTTGGAAATGTATCTCTTATGTAATAATATTACTACATGCCTATCTAGACGACTTACGTTATACCTACCGACAATAGCACCATTAAGATTCATTTAAACACACACAAAAGATACCAAATTCCGTCCGAATCATACTAGTAGAAAATATAATATAACAGCCTCATCCACATGGAAAAAATGGTTGAAAATGATGGAAGCCCTGATGAAATAAAAGGAAAGTCAACACTCAGTATCATTAACTATGAACATGGCCAAAATGTGCTGACCCTCTTTAGAAAATAAAACATTCCTGTAACATTAGACACATATAAAATCAAACGGATTCAGTTAAAAGTAAACATCGCCCTTGATGATAGCTAAACAAATAGCCGAAATCGCTCGGATGTATAGGACTTTTGTACATTTTTTACACAATTTGTAGCCAGAAAAGAAAGCACTTGTACGAACATAAGAAAAAATAAATCAATAAAGCTTAATCAAATTGTCTATCGTCTTTAATGAAACATGTATAAAAGATGGCTTTCTGCCCAAATGAACAATATCTCTCTCTCTCTCTCTCTCTCTCTCTATATATATATATATATATATATATAGAGAGAGAGAGAGAGAGTGAGAGATAGATAGATATTATAAATATGTTACATCTGTACAAACAAACTTGCTTGTCCGTATGTAACATCTTTATAAATTATAACTATTGGACTACCCTTGATAATGTGGCCTCATTTAAATTAATGTAATGAACTTTTGAATTTTTATTCTTTTCTTTTTCGTTACATTTAAATATATATGTATATATGTGTGTGTGTGTGTGTTTGCATATGTATGTGTGATATTGTGTATAAAAGATTTGGCTAAGAATAATTTGCCATTTCTATTTACATCATATATATATATATATATATATATATATATATATATATATATATATATATATATATATATATAGTCTGAGTATTGACGTGAACGTCACATTCTTATTTACATACGCTCTATCCCTAATAGCGGGCAACTTAAGCCTTAAATTTAGCATAGCTTAAAACTATATTTTCTATGATATACATACATAATTACGTATATCAATAATATGAAAATAATTCTCATAATAAATTGTCTTATCAATGCATTTTGAAAAAGTAACTAGTATTAATAGATATTCATGTTATATCTATCTAACCACACATCTTACTAAAACAGGCTTTATTTACATTGTTTAATACTTGACAGTTTCTGTTTTACCTAATACTATAAATTCTACGTCCGTGTTTTCCATCAGAAAAGAAAAGAATATCAACTCATTTGTTCGCCATTTTAGCAATGCGGCTGAAACCACAAGAATTCGTTTCTACTTAGCCAAACATTTATCAGACCAATTCTTGTCTTTCTCAAGTGGTTGAAAATCTCCAGAGACAGCCTTCACAGCGCTAGGCAATCAATTTCGTAACGGAGGCGTTGATTCTGCCGTCTGCACAAGACGGTAAATCTAATGTGTCTGCAGAAATTTCTTGGGTGAATCGGACTTACAATTAATCAAACGAGAAAGCAAGTTAAAAGTGTATGAGGGGGTAGATTCTTGCCAGAAAAGTCACGGATATATCACTGGACATGTTGGCAAAATAATGAAATACTAAAGAGACCGTCTCCATCTGGACATATTCAACATTATCAGTTGGCTCGCCAATATGAATCCGTTTATTGCTGACTGATGTCGAGCGAAGGGTTCCTGAAACGGAGACAAATGGGAGAGTAATAAAAAAAAACATATCAAAAGTGAAACAGAATATCTGTAAACCAAACAATTTATTTACTCTGACAGAAACGTTAATATATTCTTTTAATTTGTAAGATATTATGTAATGTTCGAATACTAATTGCAAGCCAATTGTATTAAAATAACCTTAACAAAAGAAATTATTTACGTTTTGCAGTCAGCTGGGAATAAAACATTCTAAAATCTATCTGCAAAAAGCAATTGTTTTTTGAAGCAATTATTTACTATGGATGTATCCCGATAATTGATGGTTTTAATTGTGATGCTTTTGTTTTGAGTACAGAATGTTTTGCGTTGGAGTTGAAAGTTGACGCTAGGAAGCTGATATCAGGACAGACAGTGGCGATTCTAGAACTCTGAATGTGGCGGCCACTTGGGGACCAATATCTTTCTGCGGAGGAGGAGCATATTCAAGCAGCGACTTTATTTTCATACTACACCACTATCGTATACACAACTTAGGATTGAGCTTTAGTATAAGTATTTTACTTCAGTAAATTAAAAAGAATAAGCTTTCATTCATAGTAGTGGAGTTATAATCTATTCTTGCCCTCTTTTTCACTCTCAAGCTGTTTGACCACAAGAAAGGTTAACTTCAAAACAAAATCAAAGAGTTAATATTAACGTCAATACTAGCAGAACAATGTAATTTGTCTACTCTGATCTTTTTCCTTTACAAAATTTAGAAAAGTAGGGGGAGCAACCGAGGGGCCATCAAAAATTCGGGGGGTATAGGCCCCCTACTGCCCCCTGTAGAATCGCCACTAATCAGAGATATTCCATAATGTTCTTTTATATCTTCCAGTTTCTATCATCATCAACTTCATAAATCTATGTCTTATTATGAGGATGTGTTTTTATTTTTACGCCGGCCGAATTCAAACTTTCATTTGAAAATTTTACAAACCACATTATTGTATCGTTACAGTCAAAAGAAGGAATGGCTGTTGGAACTTAATATAATTAGCCCTAGATGTATATACTTATAAATGTATATTATTAATATATGCGTATGTCCTATCCTCATTGAGAATATTTTTCCTTTTTAGTCGTGTTACCGAATTGTTTTTTTCCTCAATGCTCTGAAGAGAAAGCAATGAAAACTGACCAGTTATTTTTTTTCTTTTTCCGTTCAATTTAACTTTATATTCTCTCTTTGCTTTCTTTTTTAAGTTCTTCTCCCCGATAAAATATGTCTATTTATGCCGTTATATTAAAAGTGTCTTTATTATATTAAACTTGCCTACTCTGCTATTTTGTATCTTGTCCCATTCCTAAAAGGGAAGAATAAGCAATTAGGTATCGACCAGATCTACAATCAAAATGTCGTTCTCTTTGATAAGTCAAATTTATTATTATCTATTTATATCTACCTGCGACACACTCTCTCCTTTTTTTTTTCTCTCTCTCTCTCTCCCAATTTGACAATCTTTGTCTCTTTACATCTCATCCTCTTTATTTTTTTTTGTATCTTTATTCAAACTTCCATTCATATATTTTGTTCCTTTTTTTTGTTCGGTGTGTATTTTTTTATTTATTTCATTTCTTTATTTAAACGATCTTATTCATTTGTTCTTGTTATCTATATCTTTATTCAATTTATTATTGTCTTTCTTTTTCTTCCCTTACTTTTTTTCATTCATTCGTTTGTTCCTTCCTTCCTTCCTTCCTTCCTTCCTTCCTTCCTTCCTTCCTTCCTTTTAGTTACTTCCCGTCTTTCTAATTTTCTTCTTGTTGCACTTTCTTTCATTCTTCCATATTTTGATGTATTTCTGTGTTTAATGTCATGGTACACTCTTTACCTCTATTTCTATGACATTCTGCTCCATTATTTGAAAGAAGAACCATTTTAACATATACGTAAAATGCATTTTTGTACGCACTTTCTCTATTTATGTCAACTACTTGCATTATCTTCTTTAAAGCATCCTTTTCACTAATAATATTCTTCACTAGCATTTCAAATAACCGACGTGTTGCCAACCGAAGTTAACTTTAACTCAACATTGCATAACTCTGTGAAACCAGAAAAGCAGGGGGTATGGCAAACTGAACAGTCCTGGAAATTAAAACTCATAAATATATTAACATTTGAAATGAAATATGATCTACATCATGTTCTTAGTAGAAACTGTAATATTGTCTGATATAACAAAAATATAAAGGATAATTACTAGATTTCGATTATTCTCAAATTCATTTACAACGTATGGAAATTATTATCGTACAGAAAAGTTCGTCGCAAAAAATCTGGTAAAAACTCGCCGAAAACAATCGCCGTAAAGAAAACATTGGTATCCAAAATGTCAGGCTCGTGAGTCTTGATCCGGAATGTTTTTAATTTGCCTACGATGTCCGTCTAATTCCAAAATGGTATGATAGTAAGGCCTCTAGGTGTAGAGCTGAAAACGTGTGACACACTGACATCCATATATATATATATATATATATATATATATATATATATATATATATATTAACGATGTAAACCCTGAATAATATAAAAAATATAAACACCGAAACAATGCCCTGATAGTTTATGAAAAAAAAATCCCGATATCCATGTTTACACATATATAGAATCTACATATTCAGTTAAAAATGAAAGTAATATATACTTGATAATGTCTAATGGAATAGTTGAAAGTGCTCGGTTATATAAAACATTTAGTATGTTTTTTCACACATTACATCCTAAAAAGAATATATATGTTCGAATACAAGACAAATTGAATGAAATTCGTCGTACCTTGACAGTCGTCTATAATGAAACTGGTATAAAAGGGCGATTGCTTCACACATTCTCACACACACGTATATATATATATATATATATATATATATATATATATATATATATATATATATATATATATATATATATATATATACTGAATTATATGGATATTAGGTTGTGACACTGGGTTTCACGTTTTTGCAAACATCAAAAAAAATTATCGTTGAAAATACTAACATCATCCTCACAAATAGAACCCAGCTTAACCAAAGTTGCGGCGAAAGAGCCAGACCAATAGGAGTGTATGTTAGCGTCTGTATTCGTGTACGTGTGTGTGAGGAAGTGAAGGTTTCTCTGACGGCGCAGATGGTAGATCTGAAAAGCGTCAAGAACACTTCTATCTTTTCTCTGTTAATACAGTTCTATGACGTCGTACATGCCCACGTGCGAGGAATATATATATATATATATATATATATATATATATATATATATATATATATATATATATATGAGTACGTAAATGTATATACCTTGTGGTATGGGGTTAGACGTGTATATATTTACAGTTGGAGGCCTATCTACGTACCTACGCATGACTATACTTGTATACATATTCACGTACGGTTTTCTATATTTGCTTTTCAAAGTTACCAATGCAAATACATAGATATTTTTGTGTGATTATATGCTTTTTTTCGAGTCTTAAAATATTTATTCTCTTTTGTTAAAATGAATGGAAAGCATCCTAACTTTGAAAAAATTGTAAATATTTATCAATTTTATATTTGCTTTATACAGAACAATATATTTGTGTTGATTTTGTGATCCTTTGTCAATCTTTATTGAGATCTCAAAGTTTACTTTGCATCAGTCATCAAAACGTGTCATTTGTTTAGTAGCATACCTAAATCTATGTATATTGTCTGATCTTTATTATATTATTAGAATTTTATAGACAACAATTTTGGGCATTATTCTATTCTAGTCTGCTACGATACTTCTTCGGATATTGACAAAGATATGAACAATATAGAAAAACAACTGATGAAAAGAAAGGGAAATTAATGGTTACAATAACATAATCAAAAAATGGTTAAACTTGTAAAAAACAATACTTTTTTTTCGATTCAGATTTGACCATTAACTCGAATGAGTCCCATCCGCTGGTAGAGAGCCAAGTTTAACTTACTATTTATCTCTAGGTAGAGGAATTAGACGTGCATTCAAATCTTTTCAAATGTATAAGTGTGGAAACTAGCGCAAAGTTCACAGCCAGAATTTGAACTTGGAACGAAAATTCTAAATTCTGCACCGATCAGCACTGCGCTACATACAAACTGGTGAAATTCACAAGAAGTTATCAGGGAAAACGCATAGCTCAGGGAAGACTACTATCAAGAAATGGGAAAGCGAGGACCAGAAATATGTCCTCAGATAAATTCTGTCATCAGATGAATTCTTCTATTGCAAAGTATATTACTTACTGCAAAAATTCTTCTAAAAGATTTCAACTAATGAACATGATTATTTCAGCCACACAGAAATTTCCATATTTACAGGAGGTTTTGAAAATTGAAAGTTACTTTTATATAATTTCAACTGGATTTTTTCAAATTATTTTCCTTTTTAATTTCCTGTTACTTGAATTACCTTGCTATTTTCGGAATTTCTAGCCACGCGACATATTTATTTAGTTTGGTCATTTACCATTGGGCTTGTCTTATTCTTCTTTTTCTAACCGTCATTTGAATACACAATTGTCAGTGATTGACTTATGGACCAGATTATAGAGTTTATACTGCTTAACAATTTAGACGCCGATGAACTTTGCAGAAAATAAAATCGTGTGATTGTCCAACACATTTCGAGACGCCATTGACAGCATACAATCTATTATCCACAACTTCGGAAGTGTAGCTTATATGAAAAAAGTATTTTTTTTGTTATTTCGACAATCGATCAAATAAGTCTCTTGCACATTATATGCATTTGGTCTACGTTGCTAATAATAAAATATTCTCTTGGATCTCATGCTATAAAAGACTTCAGTATAGACAAAGAAATCTGGTAATATGAAAAGTTCTCAGTTCCATAATAGGTTTTAGTGTTCCTGGTAAAATGTAAGTGTGCGGAATAATCAACACCTCGTTCACAATTTATTTATCTGCATGAAGCATTAGAAGACAGTGAAAATAGAGGGCGCTATTTATGGAGATAGTCATGTGCAGTGAATATGAATGTATGTGATTTTATTTTTCGATATTCGTCGATAACCTGCATTGCCTATTTGGCGAAATACCTCTTGCAGAATAGAAAAATAACGTTTCCTTAAGTGATCCATGAAAATTAGACGACATCTCCAAATTCTTACTCATATCATAAAGGAATATATGCTTAGCGATGTTAAAATAAAATTTATCTGTTTTTGAACATATATGGAATGGCATGAAAGTCGTAGAATGGGCCCGAATTTTATAGCAATCGTTGATTGTTTACTGAGATGCCTTCTCCACTCAGATTACCCATTTGAACACTGTTTAGAGCTAACTAAATCAAGTACATGGAACAGAAAATAGGATAGATAAAATTTATGTGGTTCGAAAAATATAGACGTTACACCAACATCTTAAAATTGAAATTTGAACAACAAAGAACTATTTCATATTTTTTTAGTTTTCTATTCCCATTTTTTGTTTCATTCTTTTTTCGTGTGAAATACAGCACAGATATTATGTTAGGAAAAAGTAAGTATTGTCTGGGGATTCATTTTCACATGTTAAATATATTTCAAGTGGACGAATTATCTCTTACTTTAAGGAATTAATCGTAAGAGCAAGCGGCGCACAAGTGAATTTGTAATTCTCAATATATGCAAGAATATTTTCGCTGTCATATTTAAATTTCACAATCACTCAAAGCAGTGAAGTGCCAGTGTTCTTATGAATTGAATATGCAAAGATTTTAAAATAATAAACTTTTATTGAATATATCTTTCTTTAATATAAAATATCAGTAAAATAACATAAATGGAGTGGATTATCAAACATATACTTTGAGAAACTTTGGCAAAAAATGCCCAAACATTTTGCTGCAGTAATCAAACCTAAAGAAAGTTAATTAGACGAATTCAAAATTTTTTAATATTTTTTTTTCTTTTTATCATAATAAAATTTATATTACAAAATCTTGTCTCAGACAATTTTAACCACATATAATAATTTTCTCTGATTTAATGTACAATATCGCCATTTTGGGGGCTAATTTAAAAAAAAATATATCAAGTTTAATCTGAAACTTTTAAAATAACGTGTATACTAATGTGGATCTATCTATCTATATATATATATATATATATATATATATATATATATATATATATATATATATATATATATATATATATATATATATATCTATGCCAGTTTTTTCATTACGTCTCTATATCAATCTTTTCATTATCTACCTCAATGTTTTCATTATCTATCTATCTATTTATCTATCTATCTATCTATCTATCTATCATAAAATAAAAAAATACTAACTATTAATAATAGCAAATAATATACTACAAATTTATCATTTAACGTATATGAAATGGGATAGACGGCCTGCGCATAAAGCGCACAGCTTGGTGCGATAGTTACCATTAAATTAGAAGTAACAACATTCCATAATTATCATACATCTAATAAGAGTTCTGTAAATTTTTAAACAGTCACTTTTTAATTTTTTATTTTATTCATTAATTTATTTTTTATGTTTTATTCTTACATTAACAGAGAAGTTATTTATTAATTTTTCCTTATTTTGTAATATATTTTATATAAAACAAATTATTTGTAATTTATTTTCTAACTGTTTTCAACAATTTTCAATTAATAATTGTTTTTGTATTTGTTTCTACTTTTTATCAATTTGTATTTATTATTTGTATGTATATTGCTTTTTTTTATATTTACATTTACTTATACTTTGTTCAAAAAATGGCAATGAAAACGAAATCGAAACAAATATTGATAGGTGTATATATATATATATATATATATATATATATATATATATATATATATATATATATATATATATATATATATATATATATATATATAGATATATAGATGAATATATATATATATATATATATATATATATATATATATATATATATATATATATATATAGATAGATATAGATAGATAGATAGATAGATAGATAGATAGATGGAATTAAACAGATGACTGGCGTTAATGCTTATATCAATATTCCACAGGCCAGACTCTTTCAAATATTAGCAATCAGCTTGATAACTGTGGAAAGACTATGGGACATTTGAAATCATAATTCCCGATATATTACATCAGCGTCATGGCATTCGGTAGGGTCAGAATCACGATGATGATATTTGCTTACTCTACGGAATATAGGGAGACATAGTCTTAGAACAGACATGTAAGTTTGGATACAGACAATCTCTTGCAAAATGACACTAAAGAAATGAATCATGTTGCCTGGAATCAGTCTGATATAGACGAGTAATGATAATAATCGATCTTATCAAAATGGATAGATGTTCCTGAAAACAATTTATGATTTATTTTTATACAACTACATAAATTTTCTCTGAAAAAACATTTCTACCGTCCGATTTATTTAATAGATGTAGAACTATAGGTAATTTAATATTTGTCATCTTTGGTTATTAAATATTAGCTAAGGACTTACGTAATGAGGCAGAGTCAGGTGATGATTTGAAATTATTATATATATATATATATATATATATATATATATATATATATATATATATATATATATATATATCTTTATGGATGTCTATTATATCATGTCCATTCATATATTTGCATTCTTTTATATTACATTTTCCTAAACTGCAAAACAACTCCACTCAGGCATCAATCTCAAGGAATTAATTTGTTTTCATATTCAAATTTGACTTCGTGTCTCAACAAACATTCGCTTATTTCGGTCAAATTTGAAGAGATTCGAATAGAGCGCCTATCTTACTCAATCCAGTATTATCCCACAAATCATTCAAATTTTCCCTCTCCCAGGGGTAACATAAATATAGACGGCATGTAAAATAGACCTTTGGGAATTTCTAGACAAAGTGAAGCTTTGTTTATTTTATTTTATTTCATTTTTTTATTCTAAAGAACATGCGCACCGCATTATTTGAAAATTTACCGTAGAATATATTATCATAATAGTCATAATTTACCGATGTCCCCGAGGGAAAATTGATGACAAAATATGAAGGAATTTAGATAATCAAAAATAAATATTATTTATTGAAAAGCATATTACACACACACACACACATATATATATATATATATATATATATATATATATATGGCGTCACACGTTATGAAATGGACAAGTCCGACAATTCGTTTTTAAGACATTTTTTATGTTTATACGTTCTTTTTATACCATTTACTTAAATATTTGTATGTATAAAAAAATATATAAATATAAAAAACATTTTATATATACATATATATATATATATATATATATATATATATATATATATATATATATATATATATATATATATATATATATATATATATAAAAAACTTAAACACTAATTGAATTATTTTAAGCCTTTTTTTATTATAACCTTACTCTGCCCTGGATATTGAGTTCTTCTTGAATTCTATCCTCTTGGAATTATTTTTTATACAAATATATATGTATGTGTATATTTATTTATATATTTTAGATATATGATTGCATCTGTATGTGAATATTTTCCACCAATATTATCAATTATCTATCTATCTATATATATATATATATATATATATATATATATATATAAGAAACTGACAACTTTAAGGGTTCATAGGACCGGTATTTTGGTCCTAACTCTATGTATGAAAGCTTTTGTCTTTATCTGCATAGAAAGCTTATCTGTAATGCAAATCTTAATTCTATTTCAAGTTGTTCGTATCCACATATTTTTAATACGCTTGAGAAAATCAATGAATCCACTTCACCGATTAGCATTTCCTTTAGCCACAAAATTACCTTGTCAGCATCATCCTCATTTAGAAAATGGCGATAATATCCATCCATAAATTATTATCTAATATTCTCGTTTTAATATAGAGATATATTCCACTATCGATTCTCTCAGGCTGTAGTTTTCATACTTTTTTCTCCTCTTTCTCTTCCCTAAAATATGTCAAGTTAGTTTTACCTTTCCAATACTTGTTTTCTCTTTATGTCTTGTTTAATATTATCTGCATTTTTGTAGTTCCTCAAAAATTTTTCTTCATCTACTTTCTCAATATTTACCGACAATACAGTTCAATTATTTCATTTATCTGTGAGTAAAATTTACACCATCCATTGCCATATTGGAAATTATATATTACATTAATATTTCCTCAGTTGGTCAAATTGAGGATATATTAATTCCTTAATATTAATTCCTCTGTTTTTAAATTTCTTGTTAAAAATGTTAATCCTAGGGATCTGCCTTACATTTATCCCTTCTCATTTATGATATTGCACAAATTACAATACAAATATATTTGGTTTACATCGCCGATTTCTATCTGATGCATATTTCAGGATTTCATTTCTTTCATAACCTATGTTATCTAATTGTACTTTCAGTTTGCATCTTCAATCTGCTACCGACACCGTGTAGTCATTATTTTTTTTAAAGTTACTTCAACATGATTCTTGTTAGTTAACATTTTGAAATTACGAAATATAGCAATACGTTCTGTTATGTCGGCTTCTTTAATCGCATCTTCTGGTTTTTGATTTCCAGTCAACTTTAATCTGCAAAGATATAACGAATATATTCTCCTTCAATTTCTGTTCATTAATTTTTCTCTCTCATTAATAATGTCTTTCTTGTTTAAATATTACGCACACTCAATGATAATAACTTGTGTGTTAGTGGCCATATTGTATAGGGTTATATATATATATATATAACAGACAGACTGTTTCGCTGTTTACAGCTCATCAGTGTGGCTAGACATCCGGTTGCCTCTAGCTAGGATCGAAACCCGACTGAATTGGTGTCAGTCGGAGCTTCTAACCACTAAGCCGTCGGTGAAGGTGGATTTTTTTTTAGCATATTTATTTTTAGAAACATGCCCAGTGACAGTGACTCAATTCGCTTTCGTGAAGAGTCTCGCTATACACACACATATGTATACATACCCACACACACACACACACACACACACACACACACACATATATATATATATATATAGAGAGAGATATACACAAACATATACACACATATACACACACGTATATACACATATACCCACCTACATAGACGCACATATATACTCACTTATATATACATACACATATACATACACACATAAACATACATGCACATATATATACATATATACACACTTATATACGCATATATATACATACACATAAATATATACATATATACACACATATATGCGCATATATATACACACATATGTATATATATATACATATATATACATATATAAACGCATATATAAACATACATATATAAACGCATATATACGCATACATACACCCGCATATATACATATGCATACATACATATATACATACATACATATATACATACATACATACATATATACATAGATATACACACATGTTACGACGATGGACATTACCCAAATACATTTACACATAGAGGAGAATATAAAAATGCAACCAAATACAAAATTATTGAACTTCTTGGCTACATTCCGCCGACATATGCAAGGCTGACATCTATAGACATTCCTCACAAGCACTCATATACACTTACATTAAACAGAGTTACAGTTCACCAATGACCTAGACAGACAAGCGCTTATTTCATACATACTCTTACACTCTTAGAGACACTTTAACATACAAAATGTCCTTCACACATATTTATATAATATTTATTGAGTTAATACACCTGACACGTATCTGACGAATAATAACTATACATATATCATAGCATACCAGTGCACTGTTTTCTTTCTATCTCGATCTCTGACGAAGCTTTAATAAAAGCTAAAGCTGTGAGACTGAGATACGTTTCCCATTTGTTCTTCATTTTATTTTATAATCTTTTCGGATTACTGACCCTATCTCATCTTTCAACTCATACATACATACATACATACATATATATATATATATATATATATATATATATATATATATATATATATATATATATATATATATATATATATATAAAAGGCATATGTTGTAGTGGTTCCAACGAGAGAAAAGTATGTATATTAAAAAAGAAAAGAAGAGAGGTGCCGCAAACTTTTTGGTTCTAATGTGGATTTATTTAGAAAAAATATTATGCTTTGTTTTACATAATTTTACGACACGTGTGTCTGGTCTTGAAAGAAAGAAATTCGGATTACCAACACACAAACAGAGAATGTCTCATATCGAGAATATTTAACATTGAACATAAGGAAAAATGAATTATTTTTAATATTTTGTGGAAATCTCCGCTT